ATGCACAATTATGAATACTGATGAGGAGAATGTCTGCTGTAATAGACAATGTTGTATCACTTTGTACAGGCATTTCTTTAACATTTGCCTTGACCAGCAAGTTCTAGTGGTTGCTATTCACCAGAGGTATGATATACGTGCTGAAACAATAAGTTACTCACCTGAAAGTTTTCGTAAAGCTGCCTATAGGCAGTATATACTATGGAAGTACCAGAAATTAGGCTGTGGCAATCGTCAAGTGTGTCCTTCATGTGTCGTTAATTGCATAAGAGTGTGGTACCCATCTCTCAATGGTCAGTACATGGGATTCAAAGCACAAAAAATTTGCAAATTATGTTATCATACGTACAGATATGCATTAGATTTCTAATTTTAGATTTTCAAAAATTATTTTCAGATGAAAATCTACTTTTCTTTGCCTCAACTAAATTAGTGGTGGATAAAGGATCCCTTTTCGATATTGTCCTTGCTATTAATTTAGGATGCCCAGTTCTCTTTTGTGCAGTCTTATGCATACTGTCTTTACATTCAGTTCTATACCGAAAAAGGTCTATTAGTTTGGGTATATGTGAATATGACTTTTTCTCCAAAAAAGGTACAACATCCCAGCGTTTAGTCCTTTTCCTATATGTTCGATGATAACTTAAGTCACCTTTGTTGTTTCTCGAAGGTTGCCTTCCAATATGATGATTGTGATCAATAGCTGCCAATTGGACCCTTGCTTGATAAGCTTCATCTCTAACAAAACAAATTCAAATCAGATAACTGGACTCATTCATGCATTATATATTACCTAAGAGCAATTCTCTTTTTGGCAATATGATAGTAGTAGACTGTGAAAGCACTCTTAAACTCCCAGTGTGTCTATTTGATCATAGTAATATTTGTATATGAGCATCAATATTACATGTACCTAAATTGAACATAGTAGTGGAGTAATTTCAGCCACTTAGGATCTAAAACAATTTGTCTAAGAACCTCCAGGCAGGCTCACCAGGTATAAAGTATGGTATTACTTTTCCATTTTTATCAGTTGGTGGTTGTGAACTGGCATCATCTCCATTATCATTGATGTGACTACATTTGCCAAGAATCCAAACATGTTCATTTTGTACATGATGTAACAAGCTTGTCCATAGTGTCTTTATGTAAAAAATACACATAATGTAATGTATCAACACCAATTTAATTTACCTGTTATTCTTCAACATTACTAAAGCAATGCTTGCAGCAGAACCAAAAATGATTACATATGTGATCAGCCCACAGTGCAATCTTACCCATTCCCCTTTTGTTTGCTGCCTGTATATATAGCATATATACATTTACATTTACACACATGAAGTATTGTAAATATGTAATATTTATACTTTAGTAACAGATTTATGAAATTTCTTTGATTCGTACCAAATATCGAATGAATGAATGATACTGGGATACTGTCACCTATACAAACAAAATTAAACATATACAGACTTATCAACATATGTGACCATAATTGACAAAAGGTACCTTATGGCGGGTAGTGAAATTTGTCTTTCTAGCCTAAGAAATCCAACTTCCTGAGCCCCATTTATCATAAAATTACTCCACAGGATGCAAAAAGTTACCATGAAACTTTTAGAAACAATGATTGTCTAACAAAGCACTCACAGGTTGATATTTTCCATTATAACGATCAATATTAAAATCTGCCATAAGGGCCCTTTTGTCAATTATGGTCACATATGCATCATAGCCATTATAGTGATTGATGCATCAGTCGTCAATTCTTTTACTCTTATACAAGAATTATTAGCTTGGTTGTCCAAACATCTACAAAGACCTTCAGACTCCATAACAGGAGATGTAACCTGAACCTCCCGCTTGTCTACATTTGCAAGTTCTATGATGTATCCTGACTCTTCCATCAGATTATAGGTACAATATTTTGCAGAGGATCCAGGAGAATCACACCTTCCATTACTACTAACTAATACATCTTTATCATGAAACCTAAAATTATCATGAATAGTTGGTAATAAATTATC